GGGTAGGAGCCGACTAATAGACTTAACTAAAAAAAAAAAAAAAAAGAGAAGTAGGCCTTTTCTCCCTCAGCAGATCATGGTGCAACCAAATGAAAATGCGTTTTTTTTCTCAGGTATTGAGGCTTTTTGAGTTTTTGGCCGTTGCCGAGAAGCCCCAACTACCAGTCATGTCACCACAAACTACCATTCATTCTACTAAGAGCAATCCACTATAACCACCGTCATTGACCTTATCACAAATATAATTATTAAATTATAACCCCACTTATTACGATACATAGCAAAATAAGATTCAACAATTCTCGTCTTCCTAATTACTCTAAATCGTTTCATTACTCTTGGATATCTATCTTCCACTCCCTATTTTCATCCATATGCTTTTTATATCAGGATTCTACTCTGATTTATCCAAAATATAACTCTAGAAGGAGTTTGATGCTTCTTGGAGTTTCTCATAAAGGGTTTCACGTTTGCTTTAATAGGGAAGGGATATTTTTCTTTTTTATACTGTTCTTTTCTCTCTGATTATCTGTGCTTTAATTGAGGAATGGCAAGGAATGGGAGCAAAAGCGTACAGGCAAAGCTGGTGAGAAAATTTTATTTGGGTAATCAGTTTCTTCCTGCTTAATGGTCTTTTGGATTTTATAATTTTTGCAAACATTAAGCTTTTACTACTTATTATTGTGTTCTCTTGTAAAATAATTGATGTGTTGGCATTAATGTGAATGTTCTTCCAAAATTGTTCTTAAAAGCTAGGATTTATGCTTAAAAAAAATATACAGATCAGAATTGATTGATTGGTGACTTTTGGAGTGGTCGAGAATGATTGTTTTTCATTGTTTGGTATCAATGCAAACTGGATTGAACCCAGTATTCATTATCGGGGTTATCTTAATCTTTGATATGATATAGTTCCTCAAGGTGACACTGTTGAAATAACAACCGTAGGAATGATAACTTTGGTTTATTTGGTGGTATGCTTGAATCTGACGATGGTTCAATATGATGTTTGATGTCACAGTAGTTTACAACATTCTTCCACGCTTGAATTTCAGATTGGGAATGGTATAAGAAAGATTTGTTCAGCTGCACACCTTGACATGAGTAGTTATGCCTCCCTAAATACCTTACCTTTTGTTGTTCCAAAGAAACATGATAAATATATGATTTGTAGTCGTATTGATGCCACCTTTGTCCTTGAATTGTAATGATATTTCCTTGTCCCCTTCAACAATAGGGAAAACATATCTTTGGACATTATCTGCAGAATTCTTTGTCAATGTTGAACATTTTTTTGGATTTGGCTTGGTAAAAGGTAGTAAAAAACTGAACATCGGTTCCAGTAATTTTTTGTAGCTGAAATAATTGTATTTAGAGGAAGGGTTTACATGAAATATGTGAGGAATGGTTAATGACTGGGAATATCATGTTATTTAATGAATGTAAACCATAAGTGGGTCAAGCATGTTTAATGGACCACCACTTTCTTCTCCCATTGCCTCACTGGACCATAAGGAGATCCTTAGATGTTCTAACTTATTATAAGACTATCGAGTTGAGTATCCTAACACTGCTAGAGGATTTGAGCCGTGCATCTGAAACTAATTATCCAACTCCGATTATTATTATCTATTTTTCTTTTTCGACTTATTTTACATTACATATGGAGACAAGAACTCTCTTATTATTAATGAATTTTATCTGGGAGCAACATACTTGAAAAATTCTCAGAAGGTTGTGGTGATTCCCCAATGAATTGATACTTTCTTATCATCTTCTTGTTCTTACTTCCCTATATGCTAGTTTGTAAATCTCAGTGTTTAGGAGTAACATATCTTGGATATGGCTATCTACCTCACAGTTTATTTTGATTTATTTTCTTAGAACTCGTCGATGCATATTAAATATCAAATCTCAACAGTTGGTAGTTGTTGAACGAGTTTCTTTGACATTGTTAGCAATTTGATGTTGAACCATGTTCGTCCTATTGGTATATCTTACCTCACAATCTCATTTCTCTTCAAGAGACATTCTTAAAGCAGCCAATGTTTACAATAGTATGAAAACATACAAAATAGTAATATTCTTGGAGCTAAACAATTGTCACTGCCATACAAATTTATCTCAATGAAACTTTGTTGATGAATGTTGTGAATTTATGCCAAGGAACCTTGGTGGGAACCCATCGGTTTGTCTTTATGATTTTCTGCAAATCTTTTGGACCAAAATCTTTTCTCCCATTAATTTTAATCAAAGAGTTGTTAATTGTTATTGTTTTCCTTGCATAAACAGTAATCAGTTAACACTCATGTTTTTCCGAGTTCTGAGGAGTTTTTTACAGGGCATTTGTCAAAGGATAGTCAATATTGAACTGTTGGGGTGCTCACTGCAGAGTGTATTGTGACTCTCTGGCTATGGTAGTGTTATTACCTTTGGCTAAATGTGCTGATTTGATTATTTTTTATTTTGTGGGAATATTTACTTTTGGGCAGAAGCACAACTGTGGCACGGGCAACATTTAGAGATCATGTTGAAACTAATTAAGAAAATAGTAATCATTTTGAATCTGATTTCATGGGCTTTTTAATATTCACTCTATAGTTGGTACTTCCTCCAGATGATTTTAGATGGATCTCTCCTCTCTTTTTCTATGCAATGTGTGAAGGGCATCATTTCAAGCAAAAATCTGCTCTAGTACCATGTAGAGAACCCTAGAACACTTGCAAGGGCTCAAGTTGACTCTGCTCTATCCCAGTAGAGTCTTTCCAAGAACAACTAAAAGCGAAGAAAAGCCCATGGGATTCAACTGAATCTTACGAGACTCATCGGCTGCCTGTGGCAAGTCGACTGTGGTGAGCCCCAAGACTTTCCCGAGTTTTAGAACAATGGAATTCTATACAACAGATTGGTTTTGCGGAAATCGGTAAAATGATTCCATTCATTGATTCAAGATATACAATGTCTTCTATAAGTTTACAAATGGCGATCACACCCTTGGACTTATGTGCAACTGCAGTTGGTGAATAAATACAATAGAAACACACGTTTGATTACTTGATTACAATGCTTCTCCTTACGTCAAATATCTCTAACAATCACTCTTGAGCAGTCTCTGCCATGCTATACCAATTCTGTAGGGTATTCCATATCTCTACAGCCCAACCGAATGCTATTTAGAGATTTCACAGATAGCTTTCTACTGCGAAGGCTTTCAGAAAACTGAAGGAAAATGCTTAGACTTGTTACCAAAGCGCACAGTTCATGGTCTGCAACATCATAAATTTCACAGCTCCAATTGAGTATCCTATCACTCTTGACTCTTCTAAAACCACCATCCAAGACCGCTCTGATATCCCCTCAAAGACAGAATGGTTGTAGCTCTCAATGAGAAAAAAGGATGCTCAGGTGATAATATTGGTTTCAAGTTCCAATTACCGATTCATCTCCATTCAGTACACATCTCGAGCATTTAATATTCAATAAAATTGGCCAATTTACGTGTTCTTGGGCACGAATAGTTGGATGATGACATCTAAGGCTGTTTTTGTCTGAATTACCATGCTTAGCAATCAGCATACAATATTTCTGTTAGTGGATGTTCATGGGAGTATGCATGTGTGTCATGCGTGGTCATCTAGGTATGCATGTGCGTCTGCATTCCATCCCCGGTACCATATTTCTATTTCTGGGCCATTTTTTCCAACGTAATATATGTTCTTATTGGGACTGGGACATAGGAAAATCATCTTGCAGAATCTGTTAAATGTAGTAGCTTGATAGGTAAAGGGGAGCTCCAGTTTTTCAAATTATTGGAAGTGAAATTATTTTTGATGTAAATAGTGCTGATGGATTGTTTTGGGTCTCTTGAAGATCAAGGGAAGTTCGTTCTTGTGCATGTAGCAGTTTTTAATGAGTCTTGTGTTAATTGTTGGTGTCCATATGCAATATTTGGGAATTTTTATCAAATTGGATTGGCAAAGTTATTAATTAATAAAGAAAGAAAAAATTTAATAGGGAATTTCGTTTTCTGTAGTTATGGGGTAAAGGAATGATTCATAGCTTTGCTTTTATCTCCTGTTCAATAGAATCAAGATGTGTATTGGTTGTATCATGTGAGGAAACTGATTATGGATGTTGGCTAACATATCTAGGATGACAATTTTTATTTATGGTTTTAACAACATGCATATTTTTTCTCAAGGTACTTCTTGGCGACATGGGAACTGGAAAAACAAGTTTGGTACTGAGATTTGTCAAAGGCCAATTTTTCGATTTTCAGGTTCTATTGCAGCTCCCATATGCAGATATCTGCTTGTTTGCATTTCTCTCAAAGTCAGTGTTTAAATATCAGTGACTCAGGTCCGCATGAATAACCCTAAGACTTGGGGCAAGTCTAGCTTGAGTCAATTTTTATTACATTGCTTATAGATATTTGGCCCAGCCTGCCTCTGACTCAGGCTTGGGACCCTAGTTAGTCCAAGCCCAAGTCTGGGTTTTTAATCAGTACTCAAATTTAAGGGCTATTGACTTTATTATAGTTTTCAGGAATCAACAATAGGTGCAGCATTCTTCTCTCAAACGATATCTTTAAATGAAGCCACTGTGAAATTTGATATATGGGACACGGCAGGACAAGAAAGATATCATAGCTTGGCTCCCATGTATTATCGTGGCGCAGCTGCAGCTGTTGTTGTTTATGATATTACAAGCATGGTAAGATTATTAATTTCAATATCACATTTACCTGTTATGGGTAATTTGTATGTTCGGGCTCCATCATTTTCTAAAGCATTGATCTAATCACTGAAACATTAGCTTTGGATGTTGATCTCCAAATGCCCTGCATTTTGTTTAGTAGATAACTAGAGTTTATTTCACTTAAATTCCTAGTTTTTTATTGCCAAATACCACTATGCAGATTTTCAAGAAATGCATGGCATGCAATGTAGTATTTCTCATACTAGTGATTGGTTTTTGCCCTTTTGATTCTTGCGTGCTACTGTTACATGGATGCTGGTGCACAATTATATTGACCTTCCAATTCCTGCATTCTATCCAGCCATGATCCTACATTCGTCTTAGTTATGTGGTCATCTATTCCTATTTGTGGTTTCATGGTTTGCCTATCCAAATAGAGATTTGAATCCAATTTTTGTTCCTGTTGAGTTCATAATTTGCTTAGTTAGTGTGTGTGCAGTATAATCAACCTAGTACTGATCTTGCTCATGCTCATTAGGGGGTGATTCCTAGTCAAATTGTTAACTATGTAGCTCCATAGCTCTTTATAACATAAAATGCCTAGCTTCCTTCTACAGTCCTTTCTTTTCCCCCTCCCTGTTTTCATTTACTCAATGTTCTTATTTTGAGATGGTGTTACAATTGCTTAGATATCTTATGTCATTGGTGTAGCCACTTGTCAATCATGGCATGTTAGAACGCAGGTGCTTTTATTTGACTTGTAAACTTGTAGTCTTTCACTTTTTCGTCATTCATTAGGCATTTTGTTTTGATGTTTGGGTCTGATGAATGCTTTAGGGCTTCATGGCTAGGATATGGTAAATATCAAAGAGAAATAGAACATTGAGAAACACAAGCTAGAGAGGAAGCTACGATTAGGAGAAGAGGGTGAGTCTATGGCAAAATGGGAGAGTAAAAGAAAGAAAGAAAGAAAAGATCTGGACAGAAATTGACATAGTAGAAGGGAGAGTTGTGGTGGTTGCTATGTAATTGAATTATTAAAGATCTTGATAGAGAATCAGAAACCGAAAGGGGTTTCTTATAACTTTTACACGAATACTGAAGAAAAAAAAGAGAGCACGGTTGGTTCCAGCACAACAGAAGTAAAATACAACAGTAACAATATGAGAAGTAGGAAATTATTTATAGGTCCTTGACAAGGCTTGATGGCCTCTCTTAATTACAACAAAAAAATGATTTTATCAATCTCAAGTCTCCTCAAAAAGATAAAGAAAACAAACTTCCTATCGCCCATTCTTAACCTTGAATGAGAAACCTTGTTGTTCTACCATGACATAATATCCTAGTTGATCTCCCATAATATATGAAAAGCAGGAAATTATTTACAGGTCCTTGACAAGGCTCGATGGCCTCTCTTAATTACAACAAAAATTTGATTTTATCAATCTCAAATCTCCATAAAAAGATAAAGAAAAAAATCTTCCTATTGCCCATTTTTAACCTTGAATGAGAAACCCTAACCCTTGTTGTTCTACCATGACATAATAGTAATATACTAGTTGATCTCCCATATCAAATCCCTTCTTTCTAATCAATATTTCTAAAACACCCCTTTTCTCCCATAGTTTTATCTATAGTTCTTTTAACTCAAATTTATCACCATCTCCCTCGAATTTATTTTTGTAGGAAATACTCAAATATATTTGAAAATCGTATAGAAGCTTCTTATGTAAGAAATAATGAAAACACCACTAATGAGTTTAAATTACCCTGCGACCTTCTAAAATCAAATTCTTGAAGGATCTTTTATGCTTCACCAGAAAGTTTTATTGGCTTGGCTTATAGAAGTTGCTCTAGAAATGCTTAACAAACAATGTCTCAGTGAAGGGCTATGGGGACATTTTTATTCTATTTTGAAAGTGTTGATAATGCTAGATTGGAAGACCTTGGAAAAAAATCCTAAGAGAAGTAAGGCATCTTTGCGATGTACAACTTATATGTACATTCAAGAGGAATCACACAATTGATATTGGTAATTGGTGATCGCATTTCGGCCTGGGACAGTGTAGAAGGAGAAGGAGACTTTGGGTTAAAGAGGTGATTGATAGGAACAAATTGGACTCTATCCTCATTTAGGAGTATTTATAGTGCAAATCTAAGAGATTTCTAATGGAATCTCCCTAATCTTAACACCATAAAATCAGTTTATTAATAAATATGTTGGAGGATTCACTGCGATCAGTCGAATTACGATCTAGGGGATTTTCCCTTGGATCGTGGGCAGAGCCGGCATAATCATTGCGCCGTAAATAAGGTAAAATACTGCAGTAATCCAAATTTTAATAAAATGCTCAAAAATAAAGTGGAAAGGAGAAATGGACTTACTGCCCTGGACAATTGGTCCTGAACGTGCGAAGCCAGGAGGTTTGCCCGTATCAAGACTGCAGCTTTCTTTGCACCATTTGCCTTCTTTCTTCTCTTAAATCGACCAAAGTTGAATATTGGGTTGGAAAATAGATTCTTAAGGGAAAAAGGGGGTTGTTATAATCTTGGTCTCCAAATTTGTGGCTTTTGGGTTCTCCTAGGGCTTAGGGCTAGAGGTTAAAGGTTTAATGTCATTGGGCTAGGGCTTAGTCTAAGTCTAAAGGTTTGAGAAATTGAGGGTTTTCACTCAGGGACTTAGGTGTTCTCTAGGGTTCTAGGCTTCTCTCTCTTCGCATCTAACCCTCCAAATGGGCAGAATTGAGTCATTTTATATACTCCTCGTCAGTTGGGAAATGGTTTCAAATCTCACCTATCGGGTTATCAGATGTCGGATATCCTGTCGTCCAGGCTTTCTATGGCCCAAAGAGAGATTTTGAGCATTGAGTAGGCTAGGCGCCAAGTTACGAGGCATTTTGATAATTTCCATCAAAACGATGGGTCTTATGTCGTCAAGGTCAACAATGACCAAAATCTCTAGATTTTGGTTCTCGTGATATTCCATGTTGTTTTAGGTGATTCCTTAGTCTATTCCAAATTCAAAATCCTATCCAAGTCTTGGATTTCCCTATTTTAATAATTTAAGGATAATGTTGGATAATTCTAAGGGTTTTTAGAGGGTATGGGCTACAACTTAGTGGACTACAGACCATAGAAACATTGGTATAGGGTATTTTAGTGTAGTATGGTCCTTAGTGTCCTTTGAGGGATAGGCGAGTGGCAAAGAAGTAGACACCTACAGACAATCTCGATTTCATTTTCTCCTATTATTAAATGTTCAGAGGGCACACCAGCTCTTCTGCACTAGACCTTGCGCTAATTCACTCATCCATTTAGGGCATTTTCATCCTAAGGTTTTCAGCCTAAGCTTTTCTTCGAACGTTTTTGGCTAGTCTGGACTCTAAACTGAATTTTCTAGCCATGCCACTTAACCTTTTGGCATTCTCAATTCACATTTCAAAGTTCTGAATTTGACTACATCCTCCTTGATTTTCCTTCAAGTTTTTCATAGGGCTTAGGTTGGCTGCTCCTATTAGAAATGTTCACCTAAATTTTCAACGTATTCTTTGAAAACTTTTTGGCTCATTTTAGAGAGAATGGAGAAGGTAGGGGTGGCAATCCAGTAGGGTCGACCCGTCGAACTGAGGAGTTAAACCGAACCGGGTTTGGGTCTGGGTCCAAGTTTTTGGACCCGGCGTGTCAGATCTGGTTCCAAATGACTTGAACCCAAGCCTGGTCAGGTTTGGGTTTGAATCCGGCTTGGACCCCTATCGGGTCGGGGTCAACCTGACCCGATATAGAATATATATACAAGATATATTATACAATACAAAGATTAATTTTATATTATATGATACAAAGATTAATTTTTTTATATTTTTAAATTTCTAAACTGGGGTCTGGGTCCAAATGACTTTAATGCGGGATGGGTCCATGTCCAATTCACTTGGACCCGACCTAGATCCGGGTCGGGTTCGGATCTATGTGGATCCTTATGGGTGGGGTCCAAGTTTGACCAACCCCGATTCGACCCATTGACACCCCTAGGAGAAGGCGGTAATGCGGTAACCTGATTTACGGGCGACAAATTCCTTTGCTTTAAAAAAAAATTTACAAATTCTGATAACAAGGAGAAGTTTTTGAAACATAAACAGGAGTTCAGGGATACAATTTTAACAAAAGGAACTAAAGATTTGGAAATTAGTAAACAAAGAGGTGAAAAGTTTGAAGAAGGAATAATATTTCAAGGACAAAATGGACCGCAGTTTTAGCTCATACAACCATGGAACCCTCTAAGCAATTTAGCATCATACAGTGATGGAGTTATCAACCCGACAGTTAATTCATGCGGTAGCAGATGTTTTCTAAAAACACCAGACCATTTTGTGTTCAATGGGGTTAGACGTTTTCCACAATTGATTTCGCAATCACCCTTTTACGTCATACAAGGTTAGACGCTATGAATCTCGAAGGATTTGAACTAATGTTTTGGATTTAAAAAGCATTTGAACTTTGAATCCCAAAGGATTTGAATCCATTGAGTTCAAGTGTTTTTGAATCTGAAAAGGATTTGAATTTTTTTAACTCTGAAAGGGTTTGAATTGGTTAAATTTTGAAGACGGTTGACAACATTTTGGGACAAGTTTCAAAATTTTTGAAGATTTTTCTTAATACTTCAAGTGCTTTTGAGAAATCATTTTGAAAATCATGCTGAAGAATACACGTACTTGTGCTCAAATCTCGGCTTCCTCTTCTTCTAAAAGTGTCTAGAAACATTATAATGGACTTCTTTGGCGAATGGGTGTAAACGATGGGGTCTGCGACATTTCTGGGCCTTGTCCTCAGACAATGCAAAATGAAGCCATTTATCGTTGACAGTTTACCAGCCAACTTTTCCCCGTTCCATTCGATTTAGGAATCTCTTTTCGACTGGGAGTTATCTTTCCGAGTCTATTTAAGGGCCTTTTGGCCAAAATTTCCATCACATGAGCTTGTCTTCTCAATGAGCTTGTCTTCTCTCCTACTTTTCTGCAATTCTGATCTCTTTCTTAGGGTTTTTCTTTTTCTTGTTTCTTGTTAACTAGTTTTGATGTCCATGTCTCTTAAGAAGTAGGATGACCCATTTGATGAGAAGGGCAAGGAAGTTTCCCCACTCCTTTTCTCTAGGATTAGACCCTTCCCTAAGAATCTACCGTGTCACATTGCTCAAGTTTGCGTGAAGAAGAGGCACCTTGACAAGTCCAAGGCTATCCATTAATTGGTCCCTGGTTTAGAGAAAAATGGTTTTCTTCAGCGAAAGAGTGGCCCAACTGATGACCTTCCTTTCATCACTATCTATAGTAGGTATCTTGAGTATGGTCTCTTCAAATATCAATTTTTTTCTTTAATTGAAGCTCTTTTTGAAAGATTCAACTACCAAACAAACACTTTTATGCTACCCACTGGGGAGAGCACTCCAACCTTGGTGCAAGTTTCAAGGACTTCAGGGTTAAGCTTAGCTGGCACTCTCTACCATCCCTTAACTTCCACAGACGATCACTCTATCTTAAGGAGGCTATTCTTGGGGTCAGCATATGTTCTCCAGCATGAGTGGGTCGATATGAAAGAACTTGTCAATGTCGGGAATCTAGTGGGGATAAAGAAAGCTCCCATACTAGTCCATGTCGTAATTGGCAAGGCTTACCCATCTTTGATGGGTACAAAAATAAATTTCCAAATTCATTCCTCTGGTTAGGCACTTTCCCGATTTTCGAGCCCTGGAGAACATAGGCTAACCCTAGGAATTGCCTCCCTAAGATCGAGTGATCGTCTGTGGAAGTTAAGAGATGATAGGGAGTGCCAGCTAGGCTTAACCCTGAAATCCTTAAAACTTCCTCTAAGGTTGGAGTGCTCTCCCAAGTGGGGTCTCAAGAGGATAAGATCGAGGCAAATGAATCCATAAATCCCTTCCATGATCAAGCTCCAAGGAGAAAGGTAGCTCATCGTACGGATAGGGATAGTAGAAGGTCGGAAACCGGTCTCAAGATTGATCCCAGAGTGTTATGGAAGTCTATCTAAAGACAAGCATGGAGATACTTTGTTCTCATCAAATGGTTCTCATGATCTGCATGTTGTGGACTTGGACTTACCACCAGCCTTTGGCAAGTACCTGGATGAAGTTTTGGGTGTTGAGAAAGAAGTAGGTTATATAAATGGTGATCCAATCATCGAAGAAGATCTTACCCTTTGAGAGGATTTATGAATGCTCCTATTCTTGATGAAGAATAGGGTGGATGTCAAGGAGTTGTTCTCAAAATATTGGAGGTAAATGGTTTCTTAGTCCCTTAGATGAAGTAGTGAGAAGAATGGTGTTGACGGAGATAATGATACTGATGTTGTTCTTCTTGGAGTTTTATCTAAATTTAGGGTGAGGTACACACCAAAGTGTTCAAGGTATTTCCCCCTGAACTCTCAACTGATGAGTTTGATATAGGAGCTGCTCACAAAAGGGTTGCCAAAATCATTCTCTATGAGAGAACTCAGACTGAGTTATTGCTTTGCTTTGTTGAATGAACCAAATATTTTCCTTATTATCTTTCCCTGAAACCTAAACCTAAGGAACCTAATATTTACATCTCAACCTCACAAAATTCAGCAAGAGCAAGTCTCAAAGTTCAAAGTTTTTCTTGCAGTCTAAGAGACGAGTTTTCCTCAATTATGTTTATGATCGATAGTGTTGCGCACTTGCATCGCAACTTGATGGATAAGATGTATATGAGAGGCAGATCTCTTGTTATTTTGGATTCTATATCTTTAAGGTTGAGTTACAATGTTTCCAAGTGATGAAAAATTATGGGTTTTGGTCTACTCAATATACCCTTGCTGGTATTGTTACGTCAAAATGGTGTAGCGAACGATTGGAAAGTATGTAGGCAGTTAAGTAGGCCTATGCTAAAGCTGTTAAATGTGGGTTTGGCTGTAATCTTTGCACCGACGGCACTCTCATCCATTCATTGCAAGATAGGCAATCTCCTTTTGGCGACTTCAATGCTCAAACATAGAAGTCAAAGAGGTGAGATTTCCTACAAAGTCATTTTGAATGGATATCTTCGAGGACGTATGATTAGAAGTGATTCAAGACTCTTCCCTCCTATGCTTGCTCATGGGTCTAAACCAAGTTCTTTTGAATACCATAAGTTGAGCCAGCACAAGATTGGACCATGTGAAGTGGTGCAGAAGATTAATAACAATGCACATAAATTGAAGCTTCCCAGCTATATTCACACTTTTGATGTTTTTAATGTCAACCATCTCATTCCATATCGTGGTAATGCCTCTGATGACGACGAGCCACCAAATTCGAGGGCGAATTCTTTTTAGAAAGGATATGCATCCTAGAACACTGCTCTCGCGTATCTAGATAAGAGAGACAAACTTAAAGTTTACAAGAGGAACCATAAAAGGGAAACTTAGTCATTGAGTTTATCCTTTTACATCTTTTATTTATTTATTGAGTTATTTTTTTTACTTAAGAGGCATAAGTAGTAATTTCAAGATTCTTTTATGTCAATTTATTCACTTAAAATCTTTTATTGTAAATGGCTTATTACTGCCCTTATTGTGTATGTTGATGCTATTGTTGTGATAGGGAATAATTTGAAGGGCATTGAGGATCTTAAATCTTATTTAAGCAAGGTGTTTAATATCGAATATTTAGGACCCCTTGAGTGTTTTTTGGGAATTGAAGTGGCAAGATCAAAGAAAGGGATAGTCATCTCCCAGAGAAAATGTGTTAGATTTGTTACAACAAATGAGGATGTTGGGATCTAGACTTGTAGATACTCCTATAGAAGTTAGTCATAATCTTCATGGAGAAAGGGGAGAGCTACTCAGTATCAACGAATATTGGGTAGGCTTATATATATCTCAATCATTTGATCAAACATTTCTTATGTGGTTAGCATGGTCAGCCAATTTATACATGCACTATGTAAAACCCACCTCAATTCTATGTACAGAATATTAAGATTTCTCAAGTCTGCACTAGGCAAACGGATGTTTTTCTCATATCAAGAATATTTTGATGTTGCAATCTATACCAATGCTGATTGGGTTGGTTGCCAAACTAATAGAAGATCCACAATTGGCTATTGTACCTTTGTTTTGGGAAACCTGGTTACTTGGAAAAGCAAGAAGCAAAATGTGTTGGCAAAATCAAGTGTTGAAGCAGAATACAGAGCAATGGCTTATGGTACATGTGAAGTAATCTAGATCAAAAGTGTTTTTTTTCTATTTGAGTATTAGATTTAAGCTTTCCATGAAGGTTAGGACCGTTTCCGGCCCACCCCTCTCGGGACCCTGCTTAAGTGGGACCAGTACCGGGTTACGGCCCTTAGTTAAGCTTCCCATGACTCTATATTGTGACAATGAAGCAGCCATTTATATCATAGAAAATCTTGTTTTTCATGAAAGGACTAAACATATTGAAGTAGATTGTCACTTTATTGGAGAGAAGGTTGCTGTCGAGATCATTCAGGCTCCTCATGTGAATTCTAAAGATCAACTTGCAAATATCTTCACCAAAGCAGTTTGACATGATAGATTATATGATATCGTAAGCAAGCTGGGCATGATTGATATCTTTGCACCAACTTGAGGGGCAGTGTTGGAAATAAAAAGAATGAGCTTTTATTGAATTTGATGGATAGAACTGTCATTTATCTTTTGTTTAGTCTTTATTTATCTTAAGTGTCTAAATATAGGTCAGTATTGTCCATAAGTTGTAATTAGGGTTATTACTTAATGTTATAAGAGGGATAGAGGTCACAATTGACCTCAATGCCACTCTTTCGCTCTCTTTCTATCTAACTCTTACATGTCTCTCTCTCCCTTCTTCTTCTTCTTCTTCCTTCATCATCGTTTTTCTCTTTCCTCTCTTTCTTTCTCTAGATCTTACCAAACTGGTTTCTTCTCTACTTTAATTTAAACTTTGTTTGGGTTTTCTTTCATAAGAGATGTACCCAAGCATAATGAAGCATCTTGTCATGGACTTTATTGAAAAGCCTAGAGCAGCTAGTGCTCCTTCTTTTATGTATGATTTTTTAATCTTTATCTAATTTTGGATCTCCCCTATCTTATTCTTTGCTAAACCCTAGCTCCAAGTTACCAGGTTTGTGCTAGTATTTTTCTAAGATTAGTTTTACATTCTATGATGTGATATGGCTGCTGAAATTTATAACTGTCCAATCCCATTGCGAAGAAGTGTGGTGTGCACAAAATGAACTATTATTCCCAAAGCCATATGTTTCAAGTGTCCTATTTTTGTGTCCGAAGTGTCACTCTATATAAAACATGTTAATATATTCTTTTCCCTATGGTTTTCTTATCTCGAAGATTCGTTTTTCAACTTATTTTATTTCTTTTTAAAAAAAAAACTTGGTGCGTAATGAAATCTAACTACATCAAGTGACCATCAAGTAGTTCCTTTGTGGATATGTCGGTGTATTCTTTTGGTTATTAGATATGGCAATTGAATATGAGGAGGGAATTTTTAATTGGAGTCTATGTGACATCATTTTCTTCCCAATTGTATGCTTTTTCTTTCAGCTTTTTCTTTTACCTTCATATTGTCTTGCATCAGATCATGGATCATGTAGTTTTGCCCGTTTTTCTTTGTATGTATTGAGAGTGTTGAATTTGAACACTTCAAAAATCTAATGATAATTACCACGCACCAGATTTTTTTAGATATTGATACCTTACGATCTTGTTATAGGCCTCAATCTTTGTCAAATAAGTTGTTCTACCACTCCATTTTTTTTTTATAGGAATTATGTTTGTAGGGGCTTGGAAGGATTTGTGCAACTTTTAAGAAATTAACAACACAGTTGTATTTGCTTTCAGGACTCATTTCTTCGTGCTCAAAAATGGGTTCAAGAGCTTCAAAGACAAGGTGAGTCATACAAGACTACATTATCTAGTATTTCTTTAGTTTGGATGGCATAATAGGGTACGCAAATTTTGTATTGGCTATTCTCCCTGTTTGGATTGCTTTTACTTTTTATTTTTATTTTTGCTTTCTTTCTCTAATAAATAGTCTTATTTTCAGTTAAGCTACAGAGGGGGAAAAAATAGAGAGAGAGAGAGAGAGCTAAATGAATAGGTTTAGTAAATGAGGATGCAAGATAGACTTACTTTCACTCGAGCTATACAAACAAAATGAGGAAGCAAGACTTTGTTAAACAAATTTCTTTGGTATGAAGAAACAAAAAGCTAGTAATCTAGAAGGTTTAGCCGATGCCATTATTTCCCTTGCTTCTATATGAGCTTTCTACATTTTCAGTTGTTAATCAAATTGTTTCTTTGCTTCCAAATAGTCTTTCTTTTCTTTTATTCTAGGAAGATATATAAATTCAGCTTGTCGCTGATGGCCACCTAGGTCAGGCCTTTAGGTCTGACTAAATCACTTTTTTATGTGGTGTTCACGGTATTAATATTAGATGCTGTGGAAAGTATCTGAACATTTCGGCGGAGTTATAAAGGAGCCTAGTATTCTGCAGGCCAGATGAGAAATTCAGAACATTCATGGTAAATAAGAGAGTGCGACAATTACCTGCAAGTTGGTGGATGATATATATGGAGTTCAAGAAGAGTTACTATAGGAAGATACAACTATAGGAAGAGACAAATATGTTGGATGAGGGAAAGGATTGGAAGAACATAAAGGAGTGGCTTGCTAGCAGGGAGACAGTGTTTACACAGTTGCAATTTGGAGATCAGGTGCCCTAACTTGATGATTTTGCCGAAGGCATACTAGCACCAGCAAGGTTGAGGAGTAGTTCTCAAATATGAGGATTGCGTTTGAGGTGCTTTGCTATTGTGTGAATTTGTTCCATGTGTTGATCATGAACAAGGTTGATGCTTGTAAAGGTAAGTGTGGAAAGAGACTCCTTCGACATCATCATTCATAATGTTTTTTCCAGGTAGAAGGTTCCCATGGAGGGTAGTGAGCCATTGGGGATCTTCTTAGAAAATTTCTATAGCAGGACAACATATTTGGATGAATGCTTCCCCCCACCCCCTCCCTTTTATTTTGTTAAGAAAAAAGAACAAGAGAGTCATGAATTTGCAAATAAACTTTTCAACAACTTGAATCTCGGAATCAAAGGTTGACCAGGTGTTTGGCTGGAGACATTCCTGTATATATAGTTCTTTCATGTGCTTTCTTGATATTGAAGTAGTCTAACAAATTGAAGAAAGCTGTAAGTCGGTAATCCTACTAGTGCCTTCCTGTTTAAATCATATTATTTTGAAGTTGCAATTATTTTTGTGCTTCATAAACATGTATAAATTCTGTTGGATATTCTTCTTCAGGAAATCCAACTTTGTTTATGGTGTTAGTTGCTAATAAGGTTGACCTTGCATCCAAGAGAAAGGTGGAAGAAAAGGTATGGATTTATTCAATATATGTGTTGTTTGCACTTCTTAAGAGTTCCGCATGCTTCTTTTCCCATCACAGCTCTCGTTCCCATTAGTTTTCTTCCTTTTTTTTTGTCTCTTTTTTTTCTTTTCTTTGTGGGTGGTTTAGCAATTGGATTCAAACTTGGGATATAGTGTTCCTCCCCATTAAGTTAATGAAGGATTTTAATTGCTGTCCTTAGTTTTGGCTGGTCTCAGAAATATTTCCTCTATTGAGCTTGTCAGTGGTTGAAACTTGAAACGTGCATTTAACAGTGATGATATGTAGGATGGGGAGACTTACGCTCGAGAAAATGGATTGCTTTACATGGAAACTTCGGCAAAGACTGCACAAAATGTGAATGAGCTCTTCTATGAAATTGGTATTTATATCTCACCACCCTTTGTTTCATATGATTCTTGTTCAAATTATGAGGTATTGTGATCATGAACCAATATGTTCCCTTCGCAGCAAAACACTTGGCGAAAACTAGCCCCTCTCATCCTACTGGGATGAAGCTACACAACAATACTGAGGACAAGGGAAGAAGAATATTTTGTTGCTCAGCATGAAAGCACAATCACTTTTAAAACACAACTATAAATCAAAGAGAAATAAATTTGGTTGTACATAATTGAAAATTGTGCAGAATTTGTTCCCTTTTTTTACTGTGTTACATTGATATTCTAGGCTCGAAATCTGTTTTCTTCGCTGGCTCGAAAGCCTACTTGTCTTCGGCTAAAAGCCGTAGTGTATTAGCTTGCTCAAAAGCCTACATGCGCACTCTTCACAGCTAGTGGGCACTTAGTTTTCTTGACAGTGCTAGAGCACTGTAGTTTCCTTGCAGGCTGATAGTCGAGCGCAGTCATCATTCATGAACACTAAGAACATAAAAAGTTAATGCTTAAAGTTATGCGAGCTTATAGGCCCATTTTGGAAGGAATTTAGGTTATCTGGGGATTCATTCATGGTCAAAGAGGGACCTTGATGAATGAATGCACACACCAAACTAGAAGAAAGAACTACTAATACACAACAGACTAAAAAAGAAAATGACTCTCTCTCTCTCTCTCTGTGCATGCGCGTGTGTCAGTGCGCGCATTTGCAATGTTATGTAATGAACTTCTATCACATTTTCCTCATATGATGCGTTAGAAGACACTTTCTAGTTTTCAATCTTAAGGAGTTAATGAGATCCGGTTGGGTTTTCATCAGGAGTGTTGGGAAGAAGCTGTAGAAATTGGGCACAGCTTTGGATGTTTTTGCTTAGAATTCAATGCCGATTTGGTGGTATCATATAAATCCTGGGGCTTTGGATTAGATTAGTGTTTTAAAACATGGACACAATTTTGGGTGGATGGTCCACCCTCCATGTCCGATCTAGATCTAGATCGGCAACCTTGATCTGGTGAATTGCTGATCTAGATTTGGTGAATCTGCCATCCAATGAAATAAAAAACTAAAAAATAAAAATATGTAGGAAAAACTTTTCATATGTTTCTTTGATGATTTAAGATATTTTAAACAAAAACGCATAATCTTCCCTTTGTGAACTACATGTATGGGCCAACTTGTTGGTTCGGTAAAGAAATCGGACTGGTGACCAACAATTCCCGATCTGGACCCATCCAAATTGGCAACTTTTCCATACATTGGATTAGATGAAATCAGATTTGTAAAAACGATGGGTATTGTATTATTAAAGGGCTGGCGGTTACCCAATATACGAAGGTTCGAAGAAAAGCAATAAAAGTGACCGCTGTAGATAAAGATACTCTGTTTTTCTGTGGATTGTGGATGTCAAACATATCTTGAATCTTTTAAGCATTTTATCCTTAAGTCCATCCATTTATAGCTCCAAAAATTCTGTAGACCTGATAAATGATTGTGAAAAAAGAAAAATTTAAACTAAAACCTTTTCGAAGTTCTTAATTGTTTTTTGTTTTATTTTGTTTTATTTCAGATTCATGATAGCATTATCAACTACTAAAGTTTTAGATCCAAAATCCATCTATCAGATGGAGGGCACAATGAATAGGTAGGTAGGCTAAACCTCCGGAAAACTGGTTATCAAATTGCATATAACATCCGTTACAAAACTCAATGTTACTACTCTTTTGCAAAACAGATGACCGAGGTGTTGTTGCCACATTTTTATTAGTACAATAATACTTGAAAATGGAAAAAATGATTGTTATTTTTTTAAAAAAAAACAAATGAGACTATTTATTATTTGTACAAAGAGGTTACAATCACTCTTGTCCATCAGATTTTAAATTGGGTAGTGGTCAAGAGTGTCATTAACTAGACTCATAGTCTAAAAGAAAATTCTCAAACTTTGTGAACTCCTAGTTACAACAAAAATAACAGTCTTAATAGTATACAACCCCTTTTCAAAATCCCAAAAACAAATGGGTTTTGAAATCTTATACATGAATTTGTTATTTTCATCTTTCAAGCATGTTTATTTCATTTTGAGGTTTCAACAGGCAGTTAACACAGCAGAGTTCAATGTTAGCATAAATAATTTCAGTGCAAATAATTAAACGCTTTTAAACCAAAATGTTACCGTTGTTTATGTTACCCAACGATGTTTTAAAAATCGGCAAGCCGGTTAGAAACTAGTAGGATACTTGGTCTAGGTCTATTACCCTTAGTTTTGCCATGATGAAGATGTTATCCTGCCACACCCCGAACACTGTTTCACCTTTCACGTATCGATATGTTTCAACAAGATCAAACATATTAGACTGTAGCCTGATGGGTCGGGAAAGGGGTTAGGGTTATGATTGTAGCACCCCAACACCTTAATCATCATGTTATGGTTTTTATTGTCATAGACACATTACTCTACTACTTCCAAAAACTACAACTCCTAAGCTATTTAAAAAAATAGGTGGGGCCTGTCTTCTTTACTGAATTTCCCATAAAAGAAAAAAAACATAAAAATACAAATAAAGATAAAAAATTCTTTACTCAATAAAAGAATAAAAAAATAAAAAATCCTGATGGGTTGGAGAGCAACATGAGTATCTTCCTTCAGCAATATAGTGTCATCTATTTATTTGTTTTTTTTAGGAGCTTGAATTATGACTTCTTAATGTGAAGAGACTTACTCTACCCCTTAACCTGCCTTTCATCCGTGGAGTACTTGGCTTCTTTCCATGAACTGGTTTTCAAAACTTATTGTACATGAAAGTGAAAAGTGAGGGGATTTTATCGCTCTAATATTCCAGATCTAAAGAGAGTCTAAATTAAACGAAATAAAAGCATGGCTATTTTCCTTGCTAAGGATATGGGCCATAAAAGTATTCTGATCTAACTTCACCAACAAAAAAAAAAAGAGCACTCACCCTCTATCTCTCTCACTTTTTTAACTAAAAAATTAAGAACAAGTCTTTTGTGCAAATAAAGTTCAAAATAATTCTAGATTATACGAATGACATATTCACTTTGTATTGATACGGGTTTACACAACTACTCTTTTTAGGTTTGGAAAAGGTTTCTATATTTCCCTTTCTATACAAAAGTTCTATACTCCATTGCCCCCATCCAGCCATTCAATTTAGATCAAATAATTCATTGACCGTTTGATCAAGATCCAACGCCTCAGCGTATTTTTTTAAATTTTTTATTCTACAAATTATATGAATACAAAATGTGGTACGTGCTATCATCTCAATGGGGTGCACTAAAAAAAAAAAGAAAACAAATATCTTCAGTGAAATAAAATGACTAAAAATACCCCTAAAATTTTCATGGGCATTTTGGTTACTTTATTTTATCAGATTTTTTTTATATTTTTTCATGTGTAAGTTTAAGAAAGGAGTGGACTCCGTATAAAAAAAACATTAAAAATAAAACAGTACAGAGGCATGACATTTTAACTGGATCCATCTCAGCCGTTCATTCAGATCTAATGGCGAGATAAGGAGAAATATATAACTACTATACATTAGGGGAAGTATAGAAAGCTTGTTCTTCAAGTTTTACAAGGAAATTGTAATAAAATAGTCAAAACGCTAGAGGTGGTTGAAATAACTCAGTTATTTCACTTAGGTATATTCTCAATTATTTTATTAAAAAATGTCCAAAATACTCTTTTTTTAGGATTGGAATCCTAAACAACTAACAACTTCCAGGTAATTTGGCTTCTTAGTTTACCTTAATCAAATGATTTAAATACCCTTAGTCATATCAGGATTCAAACCTAAACCATATTTTCTTGTGATAAAATATAATTCTAAGTTCATTACCCTGAACAAGTAGGGGTCTTCACATCTTATGGATTCGGGTAAATTAAGTGGGGACAAATTGCCCAAAATACTCATGCTTGTAGCACGGACAAAACTTGGAACATCATTTTTAATTAAAAATATGTTTTAAGTTTGGAAATTCTAAACAAGCAAGATCTTTTAGCTCAAGTGACTTAAGTTGGTCAAATTATCAAAAGAAAGACATTTATATAAGGTTGTAATCTTATCGTATAGAAGAAGTACGGTGCACCACAAAAACTAGAAGAAAAGAGTGTTCCGAAATTGGAAATTCTTTCAATTGATCATCTAAACCTCAAGATAGATGTTGGTATAAAAAAAACAAAAAATGGGATCCTTTTTTTGACTTTGTAGTTAGAAAATGATGGTTGCAGTTCTAAAGTTCAAAATCCTTGTTCATTCATCCCAATAAATGCATGCACATGGAGGCCTCTACTCTCTAATTTACACAGTTTGAGAAACACAAATTACAATTAAATGCGATGGATAGGTGATCTGGTTCTCAAGAAACATGGAATCACTTGGTTCTCATTGGCTTTTATTTTTTAGTTTTTTTAAGTTTCTTTGTTAATCGACCTTGCTGAATTGGTGAAATGCATTGGCGGTTCTTGATTCAAAACGGTCCAGCCCAGTGACCAGTTTGCCAAACTGATAGATTCTTGTATAACACTAAGGGCGTTTGAACAAACGTCTGAGATACAGGAAAAATGACGAAGAAGAAAGGGCGGAGTGGCAAATTGATGTCATCTGATATTTAAAATACTGAACAGATTTAAAGTTCCACACATCCCTTAGTTAAGACGAGCATTTGCATCTCTCTGGTTTTATAAGTGCCAGACAAAGCACTTGGTTGTTCGGCTTGTCTAAGACCAGACAGAACTTGGACATTAGTAATTTTGGTAAAGGGTGAGGTCCATATGCCATCCGATGTGGATATTGCCAGACAGCAACGACAATTAAGGAAAAATAGAGCCGCACCCCAGGGGAAGGGGGCCGATGGGGTGGCGCTATATTGGCTAAAATAGGATCCATCCCGGAATAAAGGCTGGGAAAGAAGGTGTGTACATAATTTTTCCTTTTTCTTAATTTTTACTTGTAACTCATGACAACATATTTTTCTTAATTTTTACTTGTAACTCATGACAACATAATCTTTTGGTGGAGTGATCCTATAGAAATCGAACCACCATGGTTTGAAATGGAATTCATTTAGTTATATTATTCCTAAAAGTGGAAACAACTATTACTGGACGATCAAATGCCTGATGGCAATGCTTTTAAACCCAGAGATTGATGGAGAATTGCCAATCCAAAACTAGAATTGGCCAGGACCTTCCTAGGAAGACATCGATACCAGCTCGGCTAACCTTCATTTATTTTTCATTTTTATTTTTATTTTTTAAACATTTTTCTAGATTGCCAAGGCGAGCAGATCCAAACTGATCCAAATTGGTGACCCAAAAGAGGTATCTGTGGGGCGTACGACCAGGTTTCAAACAATGCCTGATAGGGTATGCACCTTTGGCCAGATTTGATTTCTACATTATCATTCCTTAACTTTGGTTACAAACTGACCAAACCTGAAATCATTCTCATCAGCTAGTAATAACAAGAAAACACTACACAATAGTATATTTATCTATTATTATACACTGAACAAATGAATATTATTGGGTTGGGTATCACAGTTGCCTTTAATTGTCAAAGCATCATCACATAAAGAAAAGACAGAAGGTGGAAACAAACACCCCATTTTTTCCCCACAAATGTGAGAAAAAGAGAAGATACAAACACAGGGTGAAAAACAATCAGTCGTTCAAAGAATACTTAATTGACGTGGGATGTAACAATGATACTACAAGCGAGAGAGAGAGAGAGAGAGACAGAGAGAGAGAGAGAGAGAGAGAACCTTTAGTTCTTATTTCCCTCTCAGTGCTGCTATTCGAGCAGCCAATTCATCATAATCAGGCAGGTTAGGATGCACATGACCAACACCGAAATTGGGTTTCATCGAAACAGCTCGGATGGGACCTCTGATCTCTTCATCTGCTGTAACATGCTCACATGGTAGTGAAACTGTTCGGTGATGAGGGATATCCTCTCTCTTTGACCTCGTCGACTTTGAATTCTCGACATCATCATGGCGATAAGTTGAAGTCTTTTCCCTTGCTTTTGCCCTGCCAGCCCCACTAGAAGGTTGTTTCTGACTATAGAGTATCAATAGATCGTCCATCATCATCTCATCGTCGTCAATATCATGGCCATTGGACTCATGGGCAACATGGGTGTATCGTTTCTCATCTTGTACCCTCTGACTTCTCCTAGAGTGTCTGTCCCTACGAGAGCCATCCCCATGTTCTTGAGGAACCGAAATCTCATCTCTGGCTCTCTCTCTATGAGAACCATCTTTGGTTTTTTGAAGAACCCGAATCTCACCTCTGTCTCTCCCTCTATAAGAACCATCATGGTGTCCTTCACAGACTCCAATCTCATCTCTGTTTCTCCCTCTACGAGAACCATCATCATACTCTTGATGAACTCTCTCATCTCTGTCTCTCCCTCTACAAGAACCATCATCATATTCTTGATGAAGCCGGATCTCATCTCTGCTTCTCCCTCTTCGAGAACCACCCTCATATTCTTGACGAACCTGAATCTCATCTCTGACTCTCTCCTTACGAGAATTATTTTCATTTTCTTTCTCTTTATGATAGCCATCCTCATATTCAGGATTACGAACACCATTCTCATCTCTATCATGTTGCATTGCTGTCCTAGCAATATGGTCATCATCTCGAGATGATTCTTTATGATCTTGAGTTAAAGATTTCATGGCAGGCCTTCTCCTAACTGATCGTGGCTTTGGAGGGGTCCTATCATAGATTGGGGCATTACTATTATCCATATCACCATTCTCATTTGTTCTTGTGGGCACCTCCATATTCTTCTCATGGTCGGCACCATGCAAGCCAGGCAGTTTGCTCTTCTCAAACTTGCTTGCAATCCCACCATCTTCACCCTCTGTGTTGAAAACCACATTAACAGTTTCGTTTTTGATATCTTGCTTGTTGACCGTTGGCTTAGTATACGGAGGTAATGCATTACTCAAATAGCTTGGTTTCACGTCTCGCACTTCTTGGGGAAGAGTCCTCTTTGTTCTATCATTCAAAGCAGGACCCGTTCGCCCTGTAATGGAGGGTGAGTTGCTCATGTCTTCTCTGTTTTGATGCCTTTTGGAAGAGGACTTGGGTTTTCTATTAGTGCTTTTCAAGTCTGCATCATCCATGCCATTTTGCTGAACATGAGAGAATGCTGCAACTCTATTCTGGTGAGGACTATGTTTCGGAGGAAGATCCTGTAAATGTTGCAACATTTGCTCGTTAGCCTTGAAACTGTTTGTTTGATACTAAAAAACTTCTCTTGAAACATGAATTGTTTAAAATGAAGTGAATCAATCTGTAATATAACTTTTGTGGACAAGAATCCCGGTAAAGAATTCACTGTTGATAATCAGAAGTCATTAATTAAATCTACTGTGCACTCTGGTAAAAGAATTGTTCAATTCTGACATGTATATTATATCTACCCATCAAAAGAAAATATATATAGATTATTTTGCTTCCATATAGTCGGTTTTCAGCCATTTGAAAATAATCCAATGCAAGATTCTTGTGTAGCATCAGGAAAAGGAGGCTGATAATGACTTACACATCCCGACACACTGGGATTCAAGATCTTTCTCCTAAAAGCCTCAGAATCCCAATTCAAAGAGAACTCTTCAGATATTTCTTCCATTAGCTTCAGCTTTGTGTTGGTGGATGGATCCTTGGATGAGAGTTTGTCTACAAACTAGCAGAACCAAAAAAAAAAAAATCCCAGTACTGTTAACTTCCAGGTATTGATCTTAATAGGGCCACAACATTAGCAAAATACATGTATATGTACCTTCTGATCGACACAAGAATCTGAGCTATGCCCGACATCCCCAAATCGAATTACAAATAGATTACGGAGAGTGAAAAGCTCCGGCAAGTCAGAAAATCTTGCTGCTGCAAAAGCCAGAGATGACACCGCTTCTTTGCATTCTGGAGTGCATTCTCTGTGCAATAAGAGTGAGACCGTCACATATCAGAGGTATATCCGTTATGAATGCATTGAAAATGGTGAGGATATTTTAACCGGAAGAAGTATTAGATCTGGGTTAATTGGTTAGAAGGTACATGGAGATCTCTTAGATAAAGTATCAACATGCAAACCAAGTCCTAGCAAATTCCCATACAAGTGCATAAAGTCAACATAGACATATCTGAAATTTAAGAAAATTTTGAGAAATTGTAGGAAATGTTGTTAAGGTTAACATGCCTAACAATCAGAAATTGCCAAAATTTGGAGTATGATACATATATGAGGGGAACAAAATTAAATCTGGAAGGGCACAGGATAACTCCTCTAAACTTCACTGGATACCATCATTTCAATGAACCAAATGCTAAGAAACATACAGAACTCAGACCAATCAGAGACACATTACTCTGCAGCACACAAAATAATTGATCGTAAATTACATCTGTTGAGTTGGTCGAAAATGAACCACGGCATTCATATGGTGGCTAACATTGTAAGAAACAGAGCTACCTTTCTTAATTGGATGTATAGATGTTAGTGAGTAGCCAGGCCCATAACCTATGCCTAACTGCAAAACACATGCAACTATATCCATAGCCATCTATCTCAGAAATGGGCGGTGATGCTATGAATGCCTACTATATGTTTATGATAACATAAAGTATCATTCTTTTATTTGATATTTTTATTTGCATATTGCATGACTAAGTGGTAAGGATGTGATGGCCACATCAACTGTGATTTTTTGCATGAGTTGCACAAGCAATTTGTTCTTTGGATACGTTTCAGTATGGAACTTTGGATATTAGTCTTATGGAATTGAGTCATCAAAACAGTCAGAATGACAACATCTATTCTCTTTATATTTTACATGGTATGAGAGCCTGAATCTGAAACTTCAGCTTTTCATCATCTCTCGTGGTTGAATTCATTATTTTTCTCTCCAATGTGGACCAGCAGTATTTCCAATGGTATATAGTTGGGCTTTGCTTTTTCTCCAACATGGACAAGTAACTCTCATAAGGGATCCACAGTTTTCGAATCTTAAAAGCTTTCTTTTTTTCTTGTTTTTTTCTCTCATCAAGCCTCGAAATAACTGACCTCATCTGTAGATAGTAATGCTCCTTGTTAGTGAGATATTTGCAAATGTCAGTTGGCACACGTTAACTCTCCATGAAAGACTTGTGCAATCTATCTAACTTGGCACAGTTCATACAATTTTTATTCTCCATCATTCTTCGTATGAACCCTTGGATTGTGTTTCTTCAATCATGTTCTCCGTAGAGATATCCCTCGATGCCTCTCTCCATAATATTGCAAGGACCACATTAGAACTGCAAAAATAGGCCGCGGTGTTCAAAGTAGAACATAGGCCAAGAGATGGTGCAGGAACTGAGAGAATGTGAAACGGGGTTTCACTTTCCTTTATATATATATAATGCCCTTGGACAAATGTACACTTTTAAAAGAGCCCAGAATATAAGAAAATTACAATGTAGCACAATCAAAGTAATAAAGGATGATTGTAGTACAAGACCTGCAATGGAAAAAAAACCTTCAATGGATATCAAATTTAGTCACTTGTGTACAATTTCATCAGATATATTGTTATATATAGGAGCCCTAGAAGCAACATAGTCAGCACAATCCTGATTGGAGGCAATGTTCTAAGAAAATACTTCGCTGTCTTAGGTTGTCACTAGAATTCATGAATTGGTCCTCAAGGATAGAAATTATTTCTTATTCTCTTCTTGAGAAGGAAGATGACGTTATAAGAATGGAACTAGACCATATCATACACGAGTTCTCCATGTGTAGAACGGAGTGAATAACAATGAACTGATATAAAAAACTTCATGCTTAAAACAGTCAAGTACCTCATAAGGTTTTGCATGTTCCATAAAAGGCTGGAGATAATCCATCAGAAACTTCATCTTTTTCCATATAGATTTTCAGTTTTGAAGCTATGAGCAGCAAATTTTAGGCACTGTTTCTTATTCCAAGAAGTCAGGACAATATAAAGTTGTAGTTTCTTCCTTAGAATTGGAGAAAAGAGCATGTCTGAAATGTGGTTTGCAAGATAGCATGTAGAATTTATTAAACAAAGCTAATTATCTACATAAGAGGTCAGCTTATTTGAAACAACCCAAGGTCTTTGTTGCACTGCAAATGGAAGCAAAACAAAACTAGATGACGGCACAAGACTCCTAAGTTTATAATGGTTCAGCTTCAGCAACTAGTAAATATGCTATCTTGATTTCCGTGTTTGATAATTGTGAAAATTCATAGGGCAACTGCTCTTGATATGGCATGAGAGATATAAAAAGATGTGTATAACTAAAGGAAATGAGCAAGAAGCAACAATTAGAATAAAAAAAAAATGTTAGGATATAATAACCCTGCAAGGAAATGTTAGTATATAATAACCCTTTTACATGCGAGAACAGGAATCGCAAAAGTTGGATCTCACTAGAAACGTGTACTTATCCAGCTAAAAACAAAATAGGCGAGAGTGCAAGCCATAATATGAGAAATAAGGCATAAAAACAATAATATGAGAAATAAGGCATAAAAACACATGCCACAAGAACACAAAGATTTATGTGGTTCACCCTAAAAGGTCTACATCCACGAGCATGAAAAACTGAAATTAGATTTTGGGACATAGAATTAACTCTTTAACCTTTGACAAAACCCAGTCGAGCAAACCCTTTTAGACCCGCTCTCCTGATTGGCACCACTCGCCGATCTCTCATCTCTGTCCTACCGCTAAACCACTATCCAGAAAGAGATCCATTTATACTCTACAAGTAAACCACTATCCAAGAAAAGAACTTGAGAGCAACCGAGACTTTCTCTCACTAAAAGGGAAAACCACCAAAAATCTCCATGGAACTGCTCCTCTACAAGAACTAGCAATTCAATTTAAAGGAAGCACTATTGCAGCATTTCTCTCCATAGGAAGCTCTCTTCTCTCTAATGGGAGACCTTGCCTCTCATGCACAGGAGTCTCCTGCCTCCCTCTCTCTCTCTAGAGGAAGTCATCTTTCCCATATGGTAACTTAAATAGGACACACATATTCTTTCTTCTCTCATCCCATATCAATGTTTCAAAAAGCGCTAGGCGGTCGGGGGGTCCTGGCCGCCCAGGCAGGCTCCCAGAACCTGTGCAGCCCAGTAGAATATTTTCTTTTTTGGGTTTTCTTTCTCTAAAATAGCCTCTAATGGGTTTTAGGTTTCAAATGAATCTAAAACCCATAATTTTTCCTTTTTAGTATTAAAAAAATAACCCAAAAATATCATCAAGGAGCTGCATTTCCGCCCCTGGGCAGGGCGGAGGCCCTGGGCGGCCGCTTAGGCAGGTTCTGGCAGGCGGCCAGGGATATCCGCCTAGGAGGCCGCCCAGGCACTGGGCGGTCTGCTTTTTGAAACGGTGTCCCATATATATAAGGTTAGGAATCCCCACTAAATAGGAAACTTCCCATAGATGTTACATATATCTCAAAAGCCAAGAGATATTCCCAAGAGTCCTAATCTTTTAGGATTTATATTTTCTTTATAAAACTTATCAATATCAATCTCAATCCTACATAATATGAGATTTCCTTAATGTGGGTGATTTTGGATATCACCACATCCAACAGGAAATACATTCATGATTGATGATTGCTAAAAGAAAAACAAACCAAATGAATAGGTACTTGTAACTCGCTTATAGTATAATGGGAATGTAAAATTTGTCTGATCTTGTAAAAGATATGCTTGTGAAGAGGGCTTCCAAGGCCCTAAATCTATGTAGAACTGAATATGGGATCGTTTGTGAACCTAGTATATACACCACATGAGTGTTTTTTACAACACAAAATTCTAAAAAATTTAAAGGTATTTGGATCTTTCAGATTTGTGGGGCAAAAACTATATAAGAAGAACAAAAATTTTCACTAGTATACAAGCTAAAAATCAGTAAAAAAAATATGTTCCATTGCAAGTCATGATCCAAGAGGATGAACATGCAGATATGAGAAACACAACATTGAAGGAGAATTAAAAAATAACAAACAAACAATAACCCAACAACAAAGTAAGGATATGTCAGACAAAGATGCTATGATGAAAAGGAGACTTGATAATGTAGGCCCCAAGGAATGACGCTCAAAAGTATAGAGATTAGGGAGAACATGTGTGACATGTAGAATTCATGCTGAGCTAGCATCCCATACAAGCATACAGTGAACATAAAATGTTACCCATATATATAATATCATGGTGCATATTAGAATATAGAAAACAAAAAAAAAGATAGGTGGAAAAAATTATACAGAATGTAATATAACTACACTGTAGGTTAAAATATTTGGATTTGAGCAAAATGTTAGAGCCATAGTGCTGATCAGAAGATCCAGCAGTAGATTGTGTATAAAGCAAATATCATGAACATACCTCTGCTTTTGTAAGTTTGAAAGTTGGCTCAAAATGCTTTCACCAAAATGCTCAACCATTTCATAACCACATGTAACGTTCTGCTCTTTTATAAGTATCTCAACCTGTTCGAAATTAAAACCAAGTGAGCCTTATTACTTTACATGATAGAAAGATACTATGTTCAAATTCAACATAAAGCAAGAATAAACAGTGTCGGCCACAGGGTCATTGTTGAAATGATAATCATCATTTTCAATCATAAAGAAACATAATCTGATAGCTTGTGTATATTAATTGTAAGATATCCTCACTCTCAAAATTTTCTATTGCCGTAAGAAACAAGATACAGAAAGGACAATAGGATGCAATAGACTTAGGGCTTCTTTACATGGTTGTTTCAACTTCCACTTTAATTTTTTGTTTCCTCTTATGTCCACCTAAGCGAGATCATCTGATCCACCAATTACAAGAATTATTAAAGGAATTCACCAACAGAAAACAGCCCTCTTCTTAAGCCTTATTTCGTGTTGCTTGTTCTTTTCTCTAGAGTTTACCTATATTAGGAATATCCAATCCACCAAATACCAAATTCATTTCACGAATTGCGGCACACAAAACAGCCCTGATATTAAAAAATTCATCCTTGTAAACTTGTTACTGGAAATGAAACCACTATTTAGCACAAATCAACAAAAACGAAAGAAAGAAAGAAAGAAAAAGCTAAATTCATACATATTCTCAAAAAAGAAAATAGATCTTCAAACAATTAAGACTGAGGTTGAAAAACTTAATCTTTTTAAAAAAGGAATGTCACCTATGTTTGTATTCATTATGGATGGCCTCAACTCATAAATGTTTGTATTCATTATGGATGGCCTCAACTCATAAATGAAAGAATCAGGACAAAGGATTAATGACTAGCCTCCACAAAAGTGATGTTACAGTAAATGCAGGGATGTTACCGTAGGATCAGGGCAAAGGATCAATGAGTAGCATCTGCAAAAGTGATGCTACAGTAAATGCAGGGACACAGTTATGATAGAGAAGATGAGAAAAGGAATAGAGAAGAGTAATGCAGTTAAAAGTTTTTGTCTGATTAGATGCCATTTTATGAGTATGACGAATTCTAAGTCACAGCATAAAGTACATTCATATTTAAGCAACAAACTGGATTGCATTTTCAGCAAAACCCCATGAAACCTGCATTCATATGGTCCCTGCAATTAAAACTTTTTTAATTTCCATTTCAAGACATATCATAACAGAGGCACCACAGCACGGCACATTCATGACGACTACAGAAACAAAAGAAAAGAGCAAAAAGAGCCAAAAACAGCTGAAATTATAGCCCATTGTCAGGTTATTAAACAGAGCATTTGATCAGAAACTAGACATGGCATAAGATGAGAGATAGAGAGAGAGACCCGTTTAAAAGCATTGAGATCCTGGCCCTTAGTCAGAAAATCTGCAACGTCTCCCCTGAGAATCTTGAGCTCAGCATTCCTCCTCTTCTTGATGAAGTCGATCCGAGCTTTAATCTGCTTGATTGCCGACTTGCTACAAGAAAGAAACGAGCCAAGAAGACTACATCAAACACCAACACAAAAAACACAAAGGAAAAGGGAGAAAATCAGAGCAAACATTCTGCAATGGCATACCATTTGCCGGAAAAACCCCGGCCAAAAATACTGTCAAGCATTGCCAGAGCCCTCAGTCAGAGACTTAGAGATAGACAAAGAGGGATTCAAAAGGGCTGACACCAAAGCTAGCGAAAGAGAGAGAGAGAGAGAGAGAGAGAGAGAGAGAGAGCTGTATTACGAAAGGACTAGAAATTAAACAAGACTAGAGAGAGAGAGAGAGCTGACTACCAAACATAGAATACAGAACGAAACGACAACTACGTAGACGGACAACAACCGAGGACAATGTAGATAGAGTAAGACGAAGGACTAGTT